ACAGTCCTGCATTCATCACACATGATTGTACTAGTTAGTTCACCACCAAAGATGCGATCCACAAAACTTGGTACTGATTTTTTCTTTTCATAATCTTTAACTTTATTTTTCAGTTCTTCATCCAATTTTTCAGTAGAATTACCAAATGCTTTAAGAATTCCTTTACTCACTCTTTGGTGTTCTTCTGCTCTCATCCCATCCAATAAATAGCGAAGTAGCTCCTGGCTGTCTTGCTGCTGGTAGCCTCTAAACCGCACTGCCCTGAGCAAAGAGTTCTTTAGGTGTCACGATTCCCTTTTTGGTTTCCTGCATCTCATTAAGGAACTGGTTCATGGCTAAAGTGAGAGGGCCAGGAGGCTCAAGGTTTATTTCTAGAGGTTCTGTTAGTGCCAAATCAGGTGGTTCAATTTTTATAATTGCTCCAGACATTTTCACTTCTTTTAGTAGTTCTCTAAGCACTGGTGTTTGTGACAAATTCTGCATAACTGCATTGAAGAAACATGTATTTCCCAAATTACTGAGTCCTTTCACTGTGACTTGGGAAGCAGAATTCTTGGGAGGATTCTCCTTAGCCATGTTTTCCTTTTTTTCTCTCTCCTGTTCATTTTTACTTTCTTTTTCTAATTTTTTATTTTCCAGTTCAATGTTCCCATTATCTTTCTCTGGTTTTAGAGTTGTAACACTGGCTTGTTTTCTAACATAATCAACCACTTGGCCCAGTCAGCTTGAACTGCAATACTGGACTTCAGTATCACACAGGTAACACCTATATCCCAAATGATCAAAGAAGAAAAGTGACAAACTGATAACTAAAAAGGGAGAGGCAAAAAAATAATTCCCGGAACCCAAAGTGTGTAAAGCCAAATTATTCTATCAGAAACACTGAAGGCAGGGGCTGGGGATTTAGCTCAGCCACACAGCGCCTGCCTGGCAAGTGTGAGGTCGTGAGTTCGATTCCCGGTACCGGAAAAAAACCAAAACGAAAATAAAAAAAAGAAACACTAAAGGCAAATAAAATGGCAGAGCAGCAGTCAGCAGCAAATACAGCATCAGCATGACCTGGAGTCTGATGCCTGGAAAAGAACAACCCCGCAAAGAGCAAAAAGAAGTAGATCTCTGGGAACTGGGAGGGAAGCGACAGGAAAATTAGAAGCTACAGGGAAGGTAGAGAAATGGAGCACAGTGCAGAGTCACTACTTATTTTTCTAATGTGGAAAAAATAGAACTTTTAATTTTTTAAGCTAACAAACATTGAAATAATTACCTGCATATTTTTTGCAGAAACATCTCCTCAACTTACTGGAATAAAACAGAGTGATCCACCTCCTAAAGAGAACATAAAGGTAATTATTTTTTCCTAAGAATTTAAAACTGTATGTTAGAGCTTAATTGTGTAGTATTAGCTGTCTTTGAAATTATTTATTTCAGCTGGGCATGGTGGCGCACACCTGCAGTCCTAGCAGTCAGGAGCTGAGGCAGGAGCATTGTTGGAAGTTCGAGGCCAGCCTGGGCTACGAAGTGAGCTCAAGGCCAACTTGAACTGCATAGCAAGATCCTGTCTCAAAAAAGACCAAAACAAAAAGAAAATAATGTATTTCCATAAAAAATTACATCTTCCTAAAAATTATTTAAAGAACTTTTGTACAAATTTGAATTTTTTGTACAAGATAATTTTATACAAGATAATTTTGGTTTTACTTTTCTAATAAGATGTATTCTATGAGTCAAATGGATAAGTAGATCACCTTCTAGTACCTTCCACTTAGACTCAAATCTGGGTACAAAGGAAATGCCTGGTGTGCCTGGTACCTAGTGTGTGCACAGTGGGACGTGCAGTACTATGTACACAGTAGACATTTCTCAATAACAGCTAGTAAAGAGAAGGTGTTTGGGTTTCTATAGATAAAGTTTATAATTGCCAGCTGTCAATTTTAGCACTTCTGTGTTTGATTAATAGTTAATAGGAAAAGAAATAATTTTTACTAGTTCAAATTTGTATCCTCATATAAAATTTTTAGCCTGTGTACCCATCTGAAATACAGAATTACAGTAAATTTATGTAATATCTAGCTGGGTTAGGGAAATACAACAGTAAATAACAATCACAAAGAATTCTAAGTTGTAAAAAGGAAAGTAGTCACAGGAGATTATATGATGTCATCTATATTCATAATTATTTTTAAGAAAATGAAGGAATGTATACTACTTTCACCATGGAGGTAATGCTTAATATGGGTTTTAAATCATTAGTATATTTATATACAGATTAGAGACTTCTAAAATAAAAGTAAAAGCATGAAGACAGGCAAATAAGACTAGCAGTGTATTCTGTGGCATCTTAGGGTATTTATAAGGGATGTAAGGCCTGAGGGAATAAAGAAGAGTTTTGAACCCTCAGATGAAGTGTTGGAATATTTAACATGGTAGGCAGGAGTGAGCTCTCAAGGAGTTCTTTTTCTAAAATGAAGGTGCTCCATCTTGTAGTAGGAATTAGTAGAATCAAAACATGTCAAGTTATGAAGGAGCTGTGGAAGCATTCTCTATTTAGCACATGTAGAATGCCACTTTATGAACTATTTTGGCCAGAGTTGGGTTTTTTTTAGTTTCACTTATTGGGGATAAAATCCATTTATGATAAAAGAGAGTATAGTATTCATATGTTTATGAATGAATACATATATTTGTGTATTTCATAGTGATTATTCACTGACTTAACCCTACACATTTGACTTTTAGCTTTGAGCTTGGATCTTCATTATTGTTGGGATAAACCTTCCTATGGCATTTGTTTTATTGAGACTAGCAGAGGTTTTTGTCTTGCATGGATGTTATTAATTGATTTGCCTTATCTATTCATGCACCCCACTTCTCTTATTAGTCAGAGGAGAAAGACTAGTCTATCTCTGTGCCATGTACAACTCAAAGCTTGGTAGGTGATGTTACTGGGCTTTGGGACTACAACTTAGATTGACACTGAATAGGTGTGAGATTTACATAAGTTGTTTCTCTTATTTCTAAGTGCTATTGTAAACCACAAATGGGGATAGTTATTTAGTAGTTAACTGAATACTGAATCAGCATTTGTCAGTAGTCTTATGGATCAACCAATATGCAATTTTGCCTTTCTCCTCTTATTAGTTCAGTAAAGACAAAGGGTAAAAGAAGTAGGCTGGGTTCTAGATTTGGTATAAAAGCTCAGATTTTATTTTTGATAGATCACAGGAAAGGTTTTGAAAATTAGTAGCATTGTTTAATCACATACATGTAAGTCTATCTGTACTAATGACTAAGATCATTGGCTTTTTTTTTTTTTTTTGGTTTTTTTTTTTTTTTGGTTCTTCTCTGGTACCGGGAACCGAACTCACGACCTTGCACTTGCCAGGCAGGCGCTTTTGCCGCTGAGCTAAATCCCCAGCCCCGGCTTTGACTACCTGTAACAGTGATGGCAAACCTTTTAGCAATCAAGTGCCCAAACTACATCCAAACACCCACTTATTTATCACAGTGCCAGCACTGCAATTAAACCCGAATACCGAGGGTTTAAAAAAAAAACAACTCATACGCTTGGCTCTCGTGCCAACAGAGAGGACTATGCATATCATAGGTTTACCACCACTGTCTTATAAGCCACATGATGGTCACGTTATTTGATCTTCCTAAACCTTAATTTATCTATCTATAATATAAAGGGATAATTGTGTGATGCAGGTAGTGCGGTATTCAAAAGGGATCATTAAATTATATTCTTGCCAATTGTGTTTCTGCTCTTTTAATTATGCTTCTTGTTTGATTAAACTCTGAACGATACCTTTAACTTTGTCTTACCAGACACTGTCTTCTGTGCAAGAAAAGCCCTCTGCTAAAACGGCCCTTGTTCAACAGACTGCACGTTTATGTGAAATGCCACCAAATCACCACACATTAGCACTCAATCATCAAGAGTTAGAACCTGTACAGACTGTGAAAAATGTTACACCTTTACAAATGCAACCTCCCTCAGGTAAGAAATTAATAAACAATTGTGACTAAAAAATTTCTAAACATATATATAAGAATGCTAAGTCCATCATAAACATTACACATCTTAGAAATACTGAAAATTCTAACTAGTAAATTCCAGGTTGGAAATGTAAAGCATATTGTTGGAAATTTACTGCTTGATACCTTAGGCCGGTGTCGGCGAACCTATGGATTACATGCTGCAGCTGGGTGTTTGTTTTCACTGAAAGCTCTAGAACGTGTAATCACTGTTGTTGGCACTCATTACATTTAAAAGAAAGAATATTCTCCCTGTATAGTTTACACTTAATTTATTTTCATATACATTATACACACTGGCACATAGACTATGTAAAAAACCTATTCCTGCCCAAGTGTATACAGTTGAGTTCTTAGCAGACTTGGGAAATGCTGCTATAACATTTCTGACTTAGAAAAGTAGGATGCAATGAATAAAAGATATTTAGAAATTCTGTAAGTAAATGAACATATCTATATAAAAAGTAGTTTACAGTAAAGAAACATGGGCTAGAAATAGTTGCCTCATTGTGGTTCCTATTTACTGAAAACATCTCCCAAAACTGACTAACCTTTTCTATTGTTAGACTCACTTGGTGTTATAGTAGATTTCATGTCTGTTCATCTTATCAGAAGTGACAGTATGGCCACTCTTATTTTGGAATCCTGATATTTTACGGGTGGGAGTGGGATGTGGGGCACATTGTGATATCAATGACCCCAGCCTAGAGAGTGACTGAACTGGGAGACGCTAATATATTTAAACCTCACTACAGGCAGTTGTGAGCATTCCCAACACCAAAAACAAATAAACACCAAAAGAAAAAAGAGACAAAATGTCTTAAGAGCATGTTGGAGGTCATTCCAGGAACAATAATCAAACCTCCAAAGTATGAAATGCTTATGTCCATCCTTTTCTAGAAATAAATTTTTAATGTACTTCATAGAAGAGTATGCATATATGATAGCTCTGAGTAAGCAGTACTGCAGTGGGGTAATTTATTTTGTATGCTACACAAAACTTGGAACAGAAACATGGAAAATATCAAGATTTTAGGGACTGTAATATGAGGACCCAGGTTCAGTCCACAGTACCACAGAACAAACAAAAAGATTTTATTGGGATGAGATTGCCATTTACTTTCTAGAGGCTGGACTAAGATGAGGATACACAGATATAATCAGGACCAAATAAAGATGCTGAATGCTGTTGTCTAGGAAATAAATTATTACAACCAAATCAAATACAGGGAGCATAGAAAGGCTGCAGATTAGGAAAGACTTTTCCCCCTTGGAACTGAAAATTGAACCTTGTACTTTCTCACTGGGCTACATTCTAAGGCCTTTTTTATTTTTTATTTTTATTGCTTAGAGACAGGCTTGCTATGTTGCCCAGGCTGGGGTTAAACTTACGATCCTTCTGCCTCAGTCTCTCAGAGTTCTGAAGTTAAAGGTGTACATGACCACATCTATCAAAAAGATAATTTTGTGAAGAATTAATAGAATAAACCTATTAAAAATTATCTAACAGTTGGGAAAATAAAAGGTAGAGCTCCTTTGGGACATTTGTGAGCTGCTCAAGAGTATTTAACTAGAAATATAAAAAATATAAGGGGGATTTATGTGATCTGAAGAGAAACCAGAGTATTAGAAATATAAAAAATATAAATGGTTTTCTGGAGTTAACAGGGAATAAGAGGAAATATAATTTAGGAACTTCCAATAGATTAAAAACTACTTGAAGCCATGAAAATGAGTGAAAACACCAGAAAAGTGTTCAGATTCAGAAAAGGCTGAGGACAAAATTCTAGGAACAAAACCTCAGTAAATGTAGAGGAAATTAGTAAGTTTAAAAAGGGCTAGGGATATAGCTCGGTGGTAGTGCTTGCCTAGCACGTGCAAGGTCCTGGGTTTGACACCACCACCACAAAAAAGTAAACTGGGTAAAGTGGTATGTGCCTATTATCCCAACTACTTTGGAGGCTGAGGCAGGAAGATTGTTTGAGGCCATCCTGGGTAACATAGCAAGGTCCTTTCTCAAAAGTAAAAATAAGATATTCAAAATGTAGGAGAAAAAGGAAAAATGGTGTGATAGAAGAATATCACATACTGCAGAGCATTCAAGTTGGATAAAGAAATGTGGAGAGGATGAAAATTGGCAATATGAGAAGGCCTGCTTTTGCAAAAGTTTTTCTCCGGTACCAGGAACCGAACTCACGACCTTGCGCTTGCCAGGCAAGCGCTTTTGCCGCTGAGCTAAATCCCCAGCCCCTGCAAAAGTTTTTGTTTCTCTTCCAGTACTGAGGATTGAGCCCAAGGCCTTCACATTCAGCTACATCCACTGCCCTTTTTGTATTTTTTATCTGAGTTGCCCAAGCTGGGCTCAAACTTATGATCATGCTGCCTCAGCCTCACCTGGCTGCACAAGCGAAATAGTCATCGTGTTTGGGGCAGACACCACATTGCTGTAATCTGAGAAATAGTGGAATCGGGGTGTAGTGAACACTGTGTACAGCAGTCTTTGAACAAGCTCATTGGTGAAGAGGATAGGAAAATACTGGGGCTTTGACAAGACTATTTTTGGAGCAGTGGGAGAGGTTTATGTTTATGAGTGTTTGAATTGGAGAACTTTGAATATGTTTAAAGGTTGGTTAGAAAGAAAGCAGTAATGAATATTATTGTTTGCAGTAGAATATGTGTATAGAAGAATGATAGTCTTGCCCTTGAAAAGGAATAGAAACAATGACAAACAATGTAAGAATGCAAGGAAGGTGTTTTCATTTCTGTTTTAAGAAAACACGCTATGAAAAAGCAGGATTTTAATGCTTGAATCTTCAGTAAGGGTCAGACTGTTGTGGCACCTCAGGTTATGCTTTTATGACGCCTGTGAGTGGTGTACTGTTGTGCAAAGGGAGTTTGGATGATGCTAGAAGTGGCCGTTCCTTCTACTGTAATATTTGTCAACTGTAGGTGGCGCTGTGCCTAAGGGATTGCAAATAAATATAAACTAAAATGTAGATAGAAATTTATTTTTCTGTAGTTTAATCCAATGGAAATAATTTTTTAAAAGATCTTACCTTAGATTTAAATAATTACAGTACTAAATTTCTATGCTGACGTTTTCTGCTTATTGGAAGAAGTTTGACAGAGTTTTCTTCATCCCCTTATCTTATATCTTCATCTCCACACAAAATAGAAGATGTCTCATTTTTCCCTTATGAGTTAAAGTCTTCAGTCACAAGTTTTATGATCTTATCTTCTCAGCTTGTCCTTTACTCTGCTCATTAAAAATGTCTACTGAATTCACTGAATTTTTTAAAAATATTTACACTGGGCTGGGGATTTAGCTCAGCGGCAAAAGCGCCTGCCTGGCAAGCACAAGGTCGTGAGTTCGGTTCCCGGTACCGGAGAAAAACCAAAAAAAAAAAAAATATATATTTACACTGTTGAATCAACTTGAATTCACATGACAAATGAAAAGGTAAACTGAGCTGTTTGCCAACCAGTAGAAGTGGCCCCCTCGTATAAAAGTAAAAAAAATTCCTTAATGAAACAAAAGTGAAATTTAAGGGGACAAGGAAAGTAGAATTACAAGATCTGGCTGGCAGATGCATATTTTACATAATTAAGTATCATTTAAGGTGGAAACAATGTAGGTGAACATATTTAGGCACCTAAAAATTCAGTATGATTGAAATGTTGGTTGAATAAATGGGAATGTGGGGTGATAAATGTAGAAAGGAAGATCGGGTGGAATTTAGAGTCTTGGAATTTTATTTTATTTTATTTTTTTGACCTGAATTTATTTAATTTATTTATTTTTTTTAATTTTAGAATCTTGGAATTTTAGACTTATGTGGGTAGGGGAGAGCCAGTGAAGGTCTTTTGGGCAGAGCGTGTGCTTTAAGGTAATTAATCTTCCAATATCGTGGAGGTTTGTTGAGGGAATGGGTCACAGAAACCAGAAGTGGAGATCACCTGAGCTGTTGCAGTTGTAGGGAAAGCCTGAAGGAACGTGATAGAAAAAAGTAGAAAGCTGAAAATGATTGCGAGGGTAAAATGAGTAGTTTTACAAATGACATATGCCAGGTTAATAACAAAGGGAGGAACTGAGAGCATTGGTGAATCACAGGATCCTGGCTGGATATTGGTCCAGGATAACAGATCTGGAGTAGAGAAGAATAGGTTTCTGAGAAAAGATGGGGTTTTAGTGTTTTAAGATGTGAGGGAATCATTCATATAAACATATTTCTCAGAGAGGCGGTCCCTTGATGCAGTCCTAGACATCTGGGACACTATTTTCTCAAGCCTCCGATCTGAATATTTTTACAGTGGTGTCTTTATCTGGCTACCCTTAGATGATGGTAATATTCTGAGTTATATCTGTTACCTTAAACTTAGCTTTTCATTCTACTCCAGCGCTTCCAAAACGCAGGCTTACCGAGCTGGTGTTCTCAGGTCTCACAGCGACGGGCGTGGGGCAGCCTTCCTGTTAATCCGGGGGCTCCAAGCCTTCGTCCTTTTTTGCATAGCACCACGTGAGGAAGATTGGGAAGCCTTTCTGGGTAATCTTAGTATCTGTGATTTCTGTTCTTGTTTTTACAACTCAAATGTACCTGTCCCCAAGCATACTTTTACAACTCTAGTGAGAATCTTTTCTTAAATATCATATAAAAAATTCAAAGACAGGCGTGTAAAAACTGAAAACCCCCCCTTTCAATCCTCAGATTTTATTCTTTTCCTTTTAGTTCTTGACACTGGCACTGTTGCCACTTTCCAACTTGGTATCCGCAAACTGACACTCACTTTAGAATTTCCTTCTCTTGCCATGTACACTTTCTACTTCCTAAGTGATATCTGACCTCAGGTGGTGAAGGGGTGGAATCATGTTCTTAAAGCTCACCACCACTGCCCCATTTTCTCCATTGCTCGTTGTTCTTTCATCCATGCTTCCTTTGACAGTGTGGTCCTCCTCTGCTCACTCCCATCCCTGACGTCGCTTGCCCTCTTTCTCCAGGCTTAACTTCAAGGAGTGTAATTTAGTCAGAGAACCAGTCAAGGAGCTGCGTGGCAGTAGAAGCTTTGATACAAGTTCCTATTGGACATAAATGGCTAGGATTTTGTGAGTTTGAGTCAGTTAACAAAGATAGCAACTTTGTTTTGATTTGTCCCTTCCGTACCTTTGCCACTGATTAGACCTATAGAAAAGGACAATAAAAATTTAAACACAGTTTATCAATTAAGTTTCACACGACAGGATGTTCCCAGTTGCAAATGACAGAAAACTCAACTCAAATTGACATAATAAGGAATTTTGTTCATACATTGCTAACGGCCCAAAATAGGTCACTCTTTTAGGCATGGTTTGATCATAGATCCGACTATTCCTGTAGTTTATCTTTACTTACAATAGTACATGAAATTTTGTCTGAAAAGACTAGAAGTTAATGAGATTATTCACAAGCCAATGGGTTCAGTCTCCAACACCTCCCATTTGCCCAAAAGAAATAAAAAGCAGTAATAGGATTTCATGGTTCCCTTCACCGCAGAGAAGCACACTTTTACATTTGTTACTGCATCACCTCACTAGCTGTTACTGCCAGCTGTGTGTGCCATTTTAGGTCTTATCTTCTTTGCTTTGTTTGTTCTCAAGTTGGCCACCCAGGTAGCCATACACTGGCCTGCTGTTTCTAAAGTTACGGGTGAGGGAAATAGAACTGTTGTGATTGAGTGGGCCTAATCAAAACCCACCTCTGGAGCTGAAGACAGTCTCTACAAGTTGAATAGCTCTATAGCATGGGGACAGATAAAATGGGTTTTGGCAGGTCATCTGTAGCATCAGCTACACTTGATGCTGATGAAAACAAAAATAGACAAGAATAAAAAGAAAACAAAAATCACTTTCAAGTGAGACATGTTCAGAGTACAATAAACACCCAACAAACAATACTCCAAAGCTCAGCTGCACCATCATAGTGTCTTAACTGTAAGGGAAAAAGTCAAATTCTGGAGAAGTACCATGAAATATTTAATAATACCATTCTAAAACCTTGTACTTCTAGGTGATTCCAAACAGCTCTCGAATGGCCCAACTATGACGCATCCACCTGGTGACGATGACACGATGGTGTTAGAATCTGAACATCAAGTTCCTGCGCAGAAGGTAAAAGTAATGTTATTTTTTTTCTCAGAAATATGAAGGGATTTAAAATTATGACTAGGGCAAGAGATATTTTGGGGTATCTAGTCCTCATTTTTGCTTAGGTAGTTTTAAAAAATTAGTATCCCCTACAAGTGTCCTCACGTTTGTGTTTAACTGCAGATTCTATAATATTAGTATTCATTCTCCCTTTCCCTTTCCCTTTCCATCGCGCCCACCCCCCTCACTCTATCAGTGTATTTGTGTGTCTGCTTTCAAATCCAGAGCTTTGCACAAGCTAAACATATACTCTACCATTGAATCTATGCTCCCCAACCGCATGTCCCAATTTTAAAGCATGATGTAAAACCACTTTTTAGAGTTGATTGTAGGGGATTTCCTAATGGGGTCTTATGTGCACTTATCTTCAAGCCACACATTAATATCATTCTTTAAACAAATACTCCAAATGTTTAGGATACTAAATGTGCCAGGTACTATTGTAGGCATTTAAATTTAATGATCAGAAACTACGAAGGGGATATTTACATTTTCTCACCCCGCCTCCCCTCCCCTACCTTCTTCTCCCTCTCCCAGTGCCTCTGTTTCTCTCCCTCCTTTCCCTCTCTTCCTTCCTCTCTCTGTCTTTCTCTCTCTCTCTCCCTCTCTCTCTCTCTCTCTCACCTTTGTCCTTTGCCTGTCTTCCTTCTCTTTCTCTTCTTCTTTGCAAGTATTTCAGAGTACATATCTTAGTCTTAATGTTTGAGGTTATTGTATGCCCATACATATAAAATGCAATATTATGCATTTTACATACAGTGATTACCTACAAAACCGTCCACCAGGCATGGTGGTGCACGCCTGTAATTCCAGTACTCGGGAAGCTGAGGCAGGAAGATTGTTGTGAGTTCAAGACCAGCCTGGGCTACAAAGTGAGCTCAAGGCCAGCCTGAACTGCATGGCAAGACCCTGTCTCAAAAAAAATCCCAAAAAACAAAGCAGAACAGAAAAACAGTGATTCGGCTCTTGTGTGAAGTATCTTTCTTACATAGTGCTATACTAGTAGTTATCATTTAAGACTATGTTTAACTGAAGTATTCTGTTACTGCTAAGTATGGATTAAAATTTCCTTTTCTGTCAGCCTTCATTAAGTTTCTATTTTATTGGTTTTTGTTTTAACTGACAGAGTGTTGCCTAGCCCCTGTAGATCAGAAAGAGTAACTGCTATAGAGTTTCTTCTATCAAACATTGTGTTTCCTGAGTACTACAATCTTTATATATATAACTGAACAAAACTTAGTAAATTTTGCCCAAAGTAAAGTTTGAAAAAATAATTTCCAAAAAAATAGGGATTACAGCAGAAATAAGCAGTAGAACATCCAGTACATGTGTGTCATATCATCAGAACTTATGCTGCAGGGGCTGGGGATTTAGCTCAGCGGCAAAAGCGCCTGCCTGGCAAGCGCAAGGTCGTGAGTTTGGTTCCCGGTACCGGAGAAAAACCAAAAAAAAAAAAACTTATGCTGCAGGTGAAAATGACACATCTACTTTAGTTTGTTCCCAAAACCTAGCACACAGTAGTAGGCACTGGAATGTTGTTAGAACAAATGCTTAAGAAGAAATGGGGATGTATAGTTTGTTACTTCACAAGAAATGGTCTAATACACCGTTTCTGTTGACATCATTTCCCACCCTCGAGCCCTCGCTATCAGCATCAGTTAATAGATGTCTTAATCAGCATCAGTTAATAGATGTCTTAATTGAAATAATTGGTCACCGTGCTACTTTAAGTTTTCCTTAGAGGAATACTTGCATTCTTACCCTGTTTTCATTTTGCTCTTGACTCAGTAATGTTTAGTAAAAGTCCATTAATTCCTTTCAGATCTTAATTTGATCTATTACTGGATCAAAGACACTACCTTCCTTCTAAAAATTGGTTGACACAGACTGAATCAAATATTTCTTTTAGGATATAAAGATTAAGAATGCAGACTCTTGGAAAAGTTTAGGCAAACCAGTGAAAACATCAGGCATACAGAAATCTTCAGATCAGCTCTTCAACCAGTTTAGAAAAGCAGCAATAGAAAAAGAAGCAAAAGCTCGAACACAAGAATTAATAAAGAAGCATCTGGAGCAAAATGCAAAGGAACCAAAAGTGTCTCAAGAAAATCAAAGGTCTGTAATTTACTGGATTATCCACGTAACCATTTACTCAGAATATCGCTCGGGCAGCATTTTGTTTACCTATGGACTATCCCAAGCATCGCTCGGGCAGGTGTCATTTCAACCAGTCAATTTTGAATAGATTGGATAAATTTGTCATTTTTATATTTCCTGTTATCTTCCAAAAATTAACCAAAAAATGCGGGGTTTGTCATTCTATATTGAAATAACTGGACTGATTAGTGGTTAAGGGGGGGCATTGGACGGTACAAGAATATATTTTAAATATTTGTCAAAAATTATATTTATTTACTAGAACACAGAACAAATTGCAATTTTAAATGTACATTTTATTAATTTTTTCTTTTTTCTTTCCTTTTTTTTCTTTTGGTACCAAGAATCAAACTTACGAACTCGCACTTGCCAGGCAGGCACTTGTGCCGCTGAGCTATATCCCCAGCCCACTATTGATTTTTTTCTGAACGTGAGTATCTATTATATTTTAAAGAACACAGAAATAAGTGATTAAGGTCTGGGAATATAGCTCAGCTGCACAGAGCCTGCCTGGCAAGCACAAGGTGTCCTGAGTTCGATTCCTGGTACCAAAGGAAAAAAAGAAAAAAGAAGTAAGTGATAAGGCTAGGAAAAAAAACAAGTCCCTGCCTTATTACAGAGACATTATTTTCCAGAAATGTGTTAAAGTTTTCTCATGCTGTATGTAAGAAGAGAGTGGTGTACCTTGGTCACAGTTTTCCAAAACTTTTTGTTCTTCTTGTCTTTAATTTAGATTACACTATGTAAAATTTGACACATCAAAATAAAATTTAAGGGGCTGGGGATTTAGCTCAGCGGCACAGCGCCCGCCTGGCAAGCACAAGGTTGTGTGTTTGATTCCCAGTACCGGAAAAAATAAATAAATAAAATGAAATTTAAAAATAATGTCATAGCATGGAAAAACAGTTTCTAATATTTTACTTTATATTTGTTAATTAATAATGTATCTTTATAATGAAAACTTTTAAAGAACTTGAAACCTACTTTGAGCTTTGCTGTTTCTTTAAGGGACCCTGGAAATGAACTGACTCCAGAGTGTTTTGGAGAAGAGCAAGGAGAACATCAGCAGTCACTGGACGCTCAGGATAAGTGCAAGCTCTGGCTTCTCAAAGACCGTAATTTAGCAAGGGAGAAAGAGCAGGAGAGGAGGAGGAGAGAAGCAGTAAGTGAATTTTACTTTGACCAAAGGAACGATTTAGCAGAGCACTGTCTTTTATAGGTTCAAAGATGCCCTGCAGGGTGTTTTTCAGAGACGCTAGTGAGTGTCAGATTCTAAAATCAGAGCTTCCCGTAGTCAAAAGAGGCAAGAATAAACATAATATAGAGTATTGGTATTGCAGCTGCTAGAGTGATGGTTTGGATTAAAAGCCTGGGTTCTGTTATTTACTAGACTTTTGGGCTTTGGCAGTTTAATCACTCTGACTCAGTTTGGTCATTTAGAACGAGGGACTCATACTACCTGTTTTGAAGATAAAATTAACATGCATTCAGCACATAGGAAAGTGCCTGGCACATAAGTGAAATGATTTGCCGCATTCTTACTCATGAAAAATCTGTAGATCCTTTATGCATTATAGTCAATGCTGGTTCTAGACCAGCATTTCTTTGAATGATTGATTAAGAAACTGATTTGACTTGAGAATCCTTTTATACAGAAGATATTTTTAAAGCTAGAATCGATTCCTTTTATCCATAGAATGTTTTAGAAGTAACGATTTTTCAAATATTTGGTAATTTTATGACTAGTGATTTCTGTTAGTGGTTTCTAATTTAATTCTTTTTGGGGGGGTTTTTCTCCGGTACTGGGAACCAAACTCACGACCTTGCGCTTGCCAGGCAGGCGCTTTTTGCCTCTGAGCTAAATCCCCAGCCCCCTCTAATTTAATTCTGTTATGGTAGGAGAATAGTGTCTAACTTGAATTTTTGATATGTTGAGACCTGTTTTGTGGCCAATTTTATGGTCTAGCTTGATAAATATTCTGCTGTTAGATACAGGTTAAGTTGGTTGCAAACAAGTCCTTGCTAATTTTCTGCTATTTGTTCTATCAATTATTGGGATAATAGCTTTGACATCCACGATTATGTAACTATAGGTTTGTCTTTTTATCCTTAGAATTGCTTTAATTTTATTTTGTGGATTTCTAAGCTGTTATTAGGTAGCTAAGCACTTAGGATTATTATAGTCTCATGTCCTCTGTTATTTTCCCTTTTCATAATGAAATAATCTTTATTTCTGACAATATTGCTTACTCTGAAATTTAATATAGGCACTTTACCTTTTTATGACCATTGTTGGCAAAATGAAATTCTATTCCTTCAAATGTTCCAAATAAGAAAAGCTTTTTAAAAATATTTATTTGCATGGTTAACATTTCCAGCACTCTTCTTTTTTTCTTTCAGTACTGGGCACTTCGCACATATTGTTATACAAGCAGTCTACCATTAAGCTACACCCCTGGTCATTTTTATTTATTAATATTTTATTCTGACATAGGGTCTCATAGGCCCAGGCTGGCTTGAAATTGTGATCTTTATGCCTCAGCCTCCTCACAGTGGTGTGAATGCACTGTTGATGAATTCTTTCAGCATTTTTGTATCTGAAAAGGTCTTTCTTTTGCTCTTAAAAGAAAGTAACGAGCTTTATTCTGGGAGCAGCTTTGGTTCATAGCAAAATTGCTCTGAAAGTACAGAGTTCCCACATACTCCCTTATATCTCCCTCCTTACCATCCAACACAACATTGCTCACCTTAGATTAGTAAGTCCATAGTTGACACTAGTATTCACTTTTTGTGTTGTATCTTCTATGAGTTTTGACAAATATGTAATGACATTTATCAGTCATTACTGTTCCTTGCCCTAAAAGTCCCTCATGATCCCCGTATTAATCCCTTCCTCCTGCAACCCTGGCAACCGTTGATTTTTCCATTGTCTCCATAATATCATATAGTTGTGTGTAGCCTTTTCACTTGGTTTTCTTTCACTTAACAGCATGCATTTAAAGCTCTTCTATGTCTGCTGGACATAGTGGTATACACTTATAATCCTAACTACTCAGGAGGCTGAGCCAGGAGGATTGCAAGTTCAAGGCCAGCATGGGCAACTTAGCGAGACCCTGTCCCAAAATAAAAAGGCTTCAGGATACAAGTTAGCAATCTCTGGGTAGATTCCCCAGTATGGCATAAAAAAACAAAAAAGTGTCTTTCTGTGACTTGAGAGTTCATTTTTTAAAAAATATATTTTAGGGGCTGGGGATTTAGCTCAGCAGCACAGCGCCTGCCTGGCAAGCGCAAGGTCGTGAGTTTGATTCCCAGTACTGGAAAAAAAAAAACCAAAAAAACCCAAATATATATATATATTTTTTTTAATAAAAAATTATTTACATTTCTGGTGCACAGCATGATGTACACAAAATCCTTAGAGATTTCATTACATTTCTGCAAATCTTACAGCATGTATACTTACAGAGTACCATGTGATATTTACAGTAGGGTAATGGACCCAACTCTCACATTGCAGGCTTCAAATAAGAACTTTAAGAACTATTTAGCTAAACATTCAACATACCAGGAGCTAGGCATTAGGAAAGTAGCTTGGTTTAGGATTTAAGAAGTATCTTTTTAGGGGCTGGGGATTTAGCTCAGCGGCAAAGCGCCTGCCTGGCAAGCACAAGGTCGTGAGTTCGGTTCCTGGTACCGGAGAAAAACCAAAACCAAAAAAAAAAAAAAAGTATCTTTTTACCTTTAAAATAAATTTTAAGCATAATAAATCAAACATGCCCAAAAGGATAATAAGTTATAGTAGGTAGATCATAATTCCAAATCTCGTCCTATACGGCTAATGAAAATACCAGTGCCAATCGTTTGTAAATTGGTGCTTTTACCTATCACTCTGGTCCGCTGCTGTTAAGAACCATTTGTTTTTTTTTTTAATTTTAATATCTGGGGCCAGGGATATCTCTCAGTGGTGCAAGTGCCTGCCTGGCAAGCGTGAGGTCGTGAGTTCAATTCCCAGTGCAAATAAATAAATAAATAAATAAATTTTAATAGCTGATGTCATTTCATTTGGCAGGGACTATCTAACCTGTTTAACAAAAGGAAACAATATAACTTCAGGATACAGTAAACATCTCTTTGGTCTTAAATAGCTTTTTGTTCAGCTTATTTCAAATTTAATAGCTTAGTATTTAAAAGCTTTTCAGTATTTAATAAAGCTCTGATTCTATCTTTGTAAATTGTTTGACTGTTGTTCAATAATTGTTTTGAATGTTGTATAGGCAATTTGATTCTATCTTCATAAATACCTATAAATAAGACAGACTTAGTTAAATAATTTTCCCTAGTTCCATAGGTGATAAAGTGGCAGAATCAAGGAAAGCCCACAGCTTTGACACTACATCAATTCTTTTATGTAGAGAAAGTATTGCTTCATTCAGAAAATCGTTTTATGTGTCTAGCACTGTGTGGTTACAGAAATAAATAAGACATTGTGTTCTCTCAGTTAAGGTTCTGTTAATACTCAGTTTCCTGTCAATATTCAGTTCCGTCATGCTGAGAAATTTGCCATGCTTAATTTTCATGTTCCTATAGGTTTAATTTTTACTTATCTCATGAACATGTTCACAAAAACCAGGCAGTATTTTAACAAGTCAAAAATAATCCATTTTGTTAAATAAATTGTATTTTTTTTAGTCTGTTTCCATTTTGTGTAATCATTTTTGTATGTCTGTGATAAAGGTATATATTTTTAAAGTAATTAAAATGTTCTCTTTTTTACAGATGGAGGGTACCATTGATATGACTCTTCAAAGTGACATTATGACAATGTTTGAAAACAACTTCTACTGAAACTGAGCCTTTAAACTAACCATCAACTTTAAATGAGTGATATAAAAATTAAAATACATATGGTGAAATGATTGCTTTCAGACATGAAGATACCAATTTCATGTTGTATTTGACTGCTCTAAAATAATTAAACAATTTCACATACATTTTTAAATAGCTATATGTTTATTTTTAAGGACAGTATAGGAAATTTTATGATTTGGATCCCTGAACACTGAATAGATTCCATATGTTATTCATTCTACAAATAATTGTCAGCAATGTATTATACGCCTTGTTTTAAGCAATGAAAATCCAATAGAGATACTCCCTGATTGTTTTAAAAAATGATGACTATATAAAAATATATGAAAAACATGGTTCCTGTTGAGTTTTTAACTTTTAAAACAAATATTTGTCTGCCTTGAGAAACATTTAGAGCTTCTAACAAATAATACTTGGTTTCCTCAAGTGTCAGGTTATTTAAGATTCTCTGCTGTTTCCACATTCAAGTTTTATATTGACATTTAATTTAAAGAAATATTATCTATGGTTTGAAAGGCATTGAATTTAGCCAGATGTGGTGGTGCACACTGGTAATCCCAGCGCTTGACAGGCTGAGGCAGGAAGATCACTGCAAGTTTGAGGCCAGCCTGGTCTACATAGTGAGTTCAAGGCCAGTCTGAACGACATAGTGAGATTCTGTCTCAAAAAAAAAAGACAAAAAGAAGAACAAAAGATGTTGAATTTGAATCAAAATAACAGTAAACACTAATTATGTACACAAGTTTCTATAAGAATGTATATTTCTTCATATGTATATGTGATAACAATGTTTACCTTTATTTAACCCTAGTACTTAATATTCTGTAAAATATTTTTATTTTGTCATTTTCAAGTTGCAATTTTGTATAAATCATGTACAGTAACTATGTATTTTAAAATTTTGAACTCTTGACTGTAAAATGATTCAGGCACTATTCTGATAAAAATTCAAAGTGTGTGTTTTAGAGAAAGAGTAAGTTTTCTTGAAATCGTTTTTATAATTAATGATAAACTCTTGAAATATCTTTAGAATGTTAGCCAATTAAAATGTGATTAACTGATAAAAGTAGTGGTGTTACCTGCATGCAATGACCAGAATTAAAGTAAGATAACTATTCCTATTCATCTGTATCTATTTTTAATCAAGAAATCAATATGTTTATACCAAATAGTATGTTTTATGCTACTTCCTTAAAAAACTATAGGGAGCTATGTTACGACTACCATGTATAGTTTAACCAACTTGGCAGTTTGTAAGACTTTCTCAGTTTTGGTAGGTTGATTGAAGTGAGTTTGGCAGAAAATAATACTGATTTATAACTGACCCTTCCTATAGTGTACATTTTTTGGTAAAAGATTTTGTCATCTTTCATTTAACAGTAAGAAGTTTGGCCTCTTTCCTTATATTTAACTTTCTTCAACTAAAGCCTGCTTTTAAAGGACTCTTTTTCTAGCCTCATCTATCACTGCTCTCCAAATCCTGAAATCTTTTCATTATGTTTTCTGAAATTCAGGAAATATCAACAACACTCCTGACATAGTTGACCCTCTCCTTGTTTCTTTTCTAGTTTTGGTCTGAGTTCAAAAATTGTGACCCCTGGACCAGCTGCACCAGTTTCAAATAGGATGTTCTTAGAACAGCAAGTTCTCAGATTTTAGACTTCCCTAAAGCAGAAACTCAGTATCTAAAAAAACTCTCTGCTTTAAATTTTTCATGTCATCAGACTACACCACCCACAGTCATTTACCATCCCTTGTTCACTCCTTTTTCCCAGAAATGTCAGTATCTCGGTTGTCTCTCCTATGGATACTTCTGTGCTAATGATCTTGATTAGCAAGATCAGCTTCAGCCACCCACTCCTTCGCCTTTGCCAGTTTCTGAAACCTTTCCTTAGTCTCATATCTCTCACTACTTCTACCTGTATTTTTCTATCTTACTCTGAATAGTCCTGTACTCCAACAGTCTTTAGATCTCCCCAGGACCTACAATCCATCAATTCTTTTCCCAGCGCTTCTCAGACTGGGGTTATGGTCCAGTAGTGGAGCATGTACTTAGTTTGTGCAAGGCCCTGAGTTCAATTCTTAACAAGAAAACTCAATACTTCTCCCTTTCATGCCCTCACTTCTGTATTTATTCTCTAAGCTTGCCGTACATTATTAGAATCACTCCTTCACATACCCTCTTGACTCCTTTGTTCCTTTCTATGTTGTATTCCCCTTGGCCAAATTCAAGTCCTTATGAAATCTGACCACTGGCTCTGCACCCACTGAGCTGAATGTGGTAGAAGATGTGCAACCATGATAACAATTCTCCTTAAATTTCTGAGCATAAACTCAAATGAGCTTTGATGTTGGCCAGAAATCCTAGTAAGTTTCCATGATTCGTTCACTCTTCCTAGACAGCCAGCTATTTCATATTTCCATTCTACTTCAGACCTCCAACAAAACAGCCTCTCTTGCCCTGTCTATGCTACCTATTACTGCTTTTTCACTGAGGTAACAAGCCATTTGTTGAGAATTTTGACAGTTTCCAACCCCACATCTGTTCATAGGTTCTGTTCTCCCTTCTGTCACTAAGGAGGAACTGTTGCTACACTAAGTTTTGGCAAATCTCTGGACAGGTCTTTCTCACTTCCCCAAGGACGTTGTTGCAGGAACTGTGATTTCCATCATCAGTGTTTTCTCCTGTAGATAATTATCGGCAAACTTTTTTCTGAAAGCTTAATTACAGAATCTGTGTTTTTTGGGCTGGGGATAGAGCTCAGTGGCATAAGCACCTGCCTGGCAAGCACAAGGTCCTGAATTCAATTCCTGGTACAAAAAAAAAGAATTTGTGATTTCCTTCTTTATGCTGGGTCTTCACATCCTTGACTCATTCTTTGTTTCTTTATAGTAATTTTTTAAAATTAAGACAAAGCTCACCCTTTAAAAAAAGCACAATTTATTGGTTTTTAGTGTGGCCATTAAAGGAGAATCTCATTTATTTATAAAATTTGTCATAATTTATATAATCTGGATCTTAGCATTTTGTATTATAAATATTATCTATGTCTATTTAAACATTTGTGTATAATTGCATAGAAAACAATAGAAGCAGTTTACCAGCTCAAAAATCAAATCATTTATACATGAATACTATATCTAAGTGTTAATTTTATAAAGTACTTAATCACAAACCTTCTAGATATAATTTAAGTAAAAAATTTAGAAGTATTAAGAAAGTTTCCCTCTACACCAGTTGCGGAGTGATCAAGGCTTGTATATTATTCTACCTTTATACTCATCCAAATACAGATTTGAGGGAATTGTTTTTACAAAAATATGGCCATCTGTACATTTTATTTAATGCATCATGAACAACTAATCAGATCATTACATGACTATATAATTTTTTAAAAGCTATACATAATTAAGTTGCACATAGAACTATATAATGCTTATATAAACAATCCCATCAACTCAGTTGCTTACCACCTTTTTTATGAATACTACTGAAGTCGATATCCTGTTAATACAGCTTTATGTATTTGTGCTTCTGTTTCTAAATGATCAGTTCAAGCTCCTAAAATGGGGGCTGTTGGTCAAAAGGTACAGTGCAAGGAAATAGTTTTAATTTGTAATAGATACTGCCAGATAAACTGTTCCCAAACTAGAATGGTTCATTCTTAAAAGTTTTTTTTTTAATTTTAAAGAGTGAAAGAAGGGTAACATAATAATAGGGGGGGCTTACCGAATTACAGACAAAGTGGTAGGAAATTATCAATGGTTATTGTTTTACATATTGTTATCTACAAGATAGTTTCTCAGGAAAACAAATAGACAAATAATAGTGAGTTACAGACAAAAGAGGTAGGAGATTATCAATAGTTGTACTATACTTTGGTATCTTCAAAGTGGCTTCTAAAGAAAATAAATAGAGCTATACATAAGTGACCTATTGAATAATCATTATTCTCAGTGGTTGTTGCAGGAAACACATAATAATAAACATGCATCCATTTATGAAATAGTATAGGAACAATACAAACATTACAGAGTTATGGATAGATTAGTAGGAAAATATCAATGGCTGCTGTAATACATGGTGGTATCTTCAAAGTGGTTTCTCAGGAAGACAGAGATACACAAGAAGGATCTAACAAGTAGTTATAGCCTAAGGGTTGTCAAAAATAGCATATTACCTCTTCACCAGTGACTCCTGTCACAAGGTGTGACGGCTGGAAGGAAGGCCAGGATTGAAAAGAAGGACCGAGAGACTTGCACCTGTGTCTAGCAGCAGGCCGTTTTCTTTTTCCTCCATAGTCATGGTTACCCAGGGCTCCTCCATGGAGATGAGAGTCTGGCCAGAGGGAGAAGGCAGACCATGCCCCAAGCCCTCTCATTCCTGTTGGACTAACTGGTAGGACGGGTCTGAGCTCTGGGGCCTCCGCTTCAGAGGGCAGACCGATCTCCAGTGGTCATTCTTAAAAGTTTGAAATAATTCTTTCTCATTATCTTCACCATCATTGGAAGTTCTTGCCTTCATTTTTTGTTAAAGTGAAATTTTAAAAAAATATTTATTTCATTTGCATGACTACAAATGAGTTTCATTACCTCGTATTTGTTTGCCACATGAGTACCTGATCATTCTTTTTAGATTTTTTCTTATCAACTTGTGCAGAGTTTTCTTTTGGCTTTTTTTATGTTGGCCCTTTGTTTTGGAAACATTTTTCCCATATGTTATTTGCCTTTGAGGCGGTCTTTTTTCCCATTAAAATTTCAAATTTTATGTAGTCACATATCTGGCTTTTCCTTTATGGTATCTGAATATTTTGTCCCTCATGTCGTTGATAAAATACTCTTACATATTTTTTGTGCTTAAAGTCCAGATGTAATTTTTACACTAGCATTCCAGATGTATTAAAGATGTTTTTAATCTATGGTTATGAGGATGCAGGGCTTTCTTTCCTTCCAAACAAATTGTCAGTTATGCTCCCACAATTTATTTACTGAATGTCTGAATTGCATAACAATTACTGATAAATTTATAATTCATAAAAGGTGGATGAATTTGAACATTATTAAGGCTTTAACTGAAATTAGATTAGAATTAAATTTAGAGACCTACCAATTTTATTTCCAGCTTTACAAATATACCTGCTGCATGTAACCAATTCTTTGAGCACTACAGTCTCGAAACAGGCAGAGGAGTTGCATCAGACCCTGGGCTCAGTCCCCCTCACTACCAAAAAGGAAAACCAGTGAACTAGAAGATAGCCAAATAAATATACCAGGTTACAGCACAGAGAGACAAAGGGAAGGAAGCTGTAGAAGAGATATTTAGAGATTAGAGTGTAGGGGTTAACAAGCTGTGACCCAACAGGTCAAATCAGCTTGTTGCCTGCTTTTGTAAAGTTGTATTGAAATACAGCCACTTATTTACATGTCTATGTGTTCTTTTGTACCGTAAAGGTAAAGTTCAGTAGTTGTGACAAGGCCCTCAAAAACAAAAATACCTGCCATCTGACCTCTGACCTCTTACTGAGAAAGTGTCAGGAAATTGTGGATTACTGATCTAGAAGAGAAAATGAAAAGCTCTACCATATCTGAGAGTTCTTGGAAGCAACCACGAGAATAGAAAGGGTCACTAATTTGAGAAAATAATTGCAATTTTCTTAAAATTGAGAAAAGTGAATTCCTTCATCCTGGAATTTAGGTATCCTAAACAGAATAATGAAAAATTAATACTTAAGACATTTTTCAGTGGCCATCACACCACCATGAGCAAAGAAAATTTTGTAAGCAGACAGGGAAAAAAGTGCTATTAAGGAGCTTATTTTTATTCCACCAAGTGGAATTAAGGAGTAACTGGATATAGCGATACAGGTATCAAATCCCAGGTACTTGGGAAGCTGAGGCAGGAAGATCAGAAATTTGAGGCCACCGTGGGCAACTTAGACTGTCCCAAAATAACATTTTTTAAAGGCTTCAGAGATGTAACTCAGAGATAGAGCATTTGCCCAACGTGTAAGGCTCTGGATTTATCCCCCAAAAATGAACACCAGAAACAACAAAATGAATTTTCAAAAGTTTTGAGAAAAATAGCTGGCAGATTGAAATGTGGAGAATTTAGAGGGCTGTGATTTTTTTTCTAGCATAAAACATGCTTGCATTCATCTTGCAGTTTGGTCTTGTTTAAATAATTTTTCTCTGCTGCAATTTCTCTTTTGACAATGCCCTGTAGGGCATGACCGGTTATCAGTGACTGATTTAAGGCTATTTCTGGTTTTTTCATGAACACAGTTTATGCATAGGTTAGCATATAGTTTCTTTTCATCCTGTTCTGAATAATTTGTCACAGGAAAGAGTGTACTGATGAGATTCTAAGTTTGTGTGATTTGTGAGTTTCTGAGTGAGTGAGAGAAGGAAAAATTGTATACATTTCACTGCAAACCGAAGATTTCTTTCACATTATAGATCATAATATGTATACAAGAATGATCTGAAGTGATTATGCCACATTTCTGTTTACCCAGCAGTCTTTGGTTTAAAAAAAAGGAAAACAAAATGAGGAAAATCAGCTTTGATTTCTGAGTTCAGTAAAATGACAGTGAAATATTTTTAAATTTTTTTTCACAAAATGGTGTCTTAAATGTGTAAGGGATATTCAATTTTTATGGGAAGTAAAGTGGTTTTAGTGACTGTATTCCATTTATAGTTATACCATCAGGAACCTGTCTCTACAGCTGAGATAGCACAGGAATATAGGGTGAGAGCAGTACACAGAAAGTTTGTAATGGTCAGACTGAAAGAGGCCTCTTGCATTCATATCTCCTACCCGGAACCCAACCACCTGGCCACACCTGACTGCAAGTCTGGAAAATTTGGAACAACACATGGGCATTGGTGATTCTTTACCTCACACAAAGTCAATTTAAAAATAATACGGCTAATGAACATGAAATGATGTTCAGTTTAATACTGAGGGAAATGAAAATCAAAGCCATAAATGACATTAATCTTTACTCATTGAATTAGCTAAAATGGTACCTGGAGATGATAAGTAGAACTCATGCTGCGAGTCGGAAGCATAAATACATGTATTTTGAAAGATAAGTCAATGTTATTTTATAAAATTGAGTGGCTGTGTAGTGATAACCCAGCAATGCTCTCCAAGTACGTACCCTAGGGAATCTATTAAAAACCAAGGAGACATGTACAAAGAAATACAAAACATGTACAAACAAGGATCATGAGAGAAAAGGAGGGAAGGAGATAGGAAGGAAAGGAAGAAAAAGCCAACCCAAATACACAGAGATAATGGAACAGAACAGAGATGCCAGACCCCCACACAAATAGGACAAACATGCAATTCAGTGGGAAGGACAACCTTTTCAACAAGCAGCACTGGCTATCCGTTGACAAGAACAAAAAGTCAACTCTCACACCTTATATAAAAATTAACTGAAAATGGATTATGATCCATCTGTAGTCAAGAATAAAAGGATCGTGATCTTTTTGATTTGACATCAAAAGCATGAACATTATAAAAGGAAAAACTGACCTTATCCAAATAGGACCTTATCTAAATTAAACTTGCTGTGCAAAGCTAGACTGGGAGAAAATATTTATAAATCACATCTGATATGATAAAGACTTATTACCAAAACATATAAGAATTCTCAAACAACAGCAGTGGGAAATTTTTATCTTTAAAACAAGTAAAAGATTTGTCAAAGAGTAGCACGTAAGTTCCTTCGCAGATGCCGAACATTACTGGTCATCGGGGGAGGAAAATACCATTGCACACTTACAGAATGGCTACAACTACAAAGTTAAGAAAAATACCTAGTGCTTCTACGAATGTGAACTAAGGGGCTCTCTCATGCTGCCGGTATGATTTCAAAATTGTGCAGCCACTGTTTTGTTCTAGGGCTGAACCTAGGCCTCAGCATATGGTACGTACAGGCTCTCCCACTTACCAACACCCCCAGCCCTTTGTAGCCACTTTGGAAACCAGTTTTGATAGTTTCTCAAAAACACCCCTGGTCCAACAATCCCACTTCTAGGTAGTTATCCAAGTGAAGTGAAAACACACATCTTTACGTGACTTTATAGTGGATTTGTTCATAAGTGCCCTAAAAATGTATGTGCATCAGATTTCTTAACTGGACAATGAAAAACAATTGTGGGCCGGGTGTGGTGGCGCACGCCTGTAATCCCAGCACTCCGGAGGCTAGGGCCGGAGGATCGTTGGGAGTTCAAGACCAACCTGAGCTACAAAGTGGGCCCAAGGCCAGCCTGAACTGCACAGCAAGACTCTGTCTCAAAAAGACAAAAAAAAAAAACAAAACAAAACAAAAAAAACAATTGTGTTATGTCCACTCAATCCAATGGTAATTCACAATTTAAAAGAAATGGAACATGTAATAACATAGACGATACATTATGGTACATAAAAGAAGCCAAAAACAAAAGGTTGCATTCTATATGATTCCATTTATACAATACTCTTCTTGCAAACAACAAAAACCAAGGACAAATAGGCTAATGGTTGGTTGCCTGGGGCTTGCCTTGTTCTAAAAAGCCTACTTGCCGTTTTCTAGCTGCGTTGTAACAACTTTGAACCTAGCTGGAGAATATTATCATCTTGAGATCATCAGGAATAAATAATGTCCGTAACCTTGCTGTGCCCTCCCTTACCGTACCCCGTTATTATTCTGTGACACAGAGAAAGGCCTCATGAAATTCCAACAACCAGGTGGGCAGTGGGGGACTGGAACATCGGTCAAAACGAGTGGCGCTTCCGCGGTACCCAGAATGGTTCGGAAAGTCATCACTTTGCCCACAATTTTAGTGCCTGTCAAATGCGAAGTCTCTTTCCGCGGGAGAGGCCGTGGAGTCCACCTTTGCCTGGCCCGGGTCGGACCTGGCAGCCGGCGCCTCCGAGCGCGCGGCGTGTGCGGGACAGGGCTCGGACCCGGACTCAGGATCGGATTCGGACTCGGACTCCGACCCGGACCCGGACCCGGACCCGGACTCAGGCTCGGGCTTGGGCGCGGGCTCGGACTGGGGCGCGGGCTCGGACTGGGACCCGGACTGGGACCCGGACCCGGACCCGGACCCG